TAACCTATATTTTTATTTGACAACATTTACCTAAAGCTCTATTTACTTAAAACTCCAGTCATGTGACACACCGAGTCCCAAGACTTCTTACTTTTGGGACAGTGTGGTAGATTCAGGTCTGCAATGACCACATCTCTTCCTGGTGAGGGGGCATGCTGGTCATTGGATGTCAGAAGGACCCATCATAGGATGCTCATTGGGTTCTTAACAGGAGAGGCAGACACAAGACCAGTCAGCTGGATAATGGAGTTCAGCTTCTGCCTAGCCACCATCACTACCCAAAGAGGCACTACAGAGATCATGTGCTAGCACATTAAGGTAAGTCTATATGGGGATTTTGAGGCATTAGGAGGCAACAACATCAGGGGCATGGCTCTACTGTTTTACTTCTTGCACATAAGAATGAGTAAGCATATTTCCACAAAACAATGGTTTTTGTACCATTAGGTGGATGAACAGGCAGAGTTCTTCTCTTATAAAATATGAGCAGAAAAAATTCTCACCTGTTATAACACTGATCAATAATCCTACAATGACGCAGCTTATGTAGCCAACAGCGCTGTAGTAGAGGTAAGATATACTGTACCAGTTATCTTCCAAGACAGACCTGTATGGGAAGAAAACAGGCATTGCTAACATGGAATAAGCATTATTTTAAACTTTTATTTGCTTACTTTCAGCATGCGGTAAGAAACTGCTATAGTCTGCATTGCCTACATAAGTAATTTTAACTGCATCTTAATAACAACATTAAATCTGGGCATTTTTTTGTAATATTAAAATGGGATCCCAGGAAAGATACAAAATAATAGAGCAGCTCAACCTGCAATACTAGCTTTCAATCAATAGAAGTCCCCAGCAGTATTTATCTACAAAACATCTTCAGTCTTCTGGATTCAATGATGCACAATGTCATTCATCCCAAAAGACTGAGGACATGCTATCGATGTATGGGCTTTACCACGGCACTCTTCATTTATAGTATAAAAAAAGAGAGTTGAGGATTGCCCCAGGCTGGAAAAAAGGCTAAAGCGAAGAAAACTCAGCACATTCCATCAGGTATGACCAGCCTAAAGACTTCTGAAAAAGAAGTATAAAAAAGGATTAAAATATGCATGAGGGGTTCTCTCTAGGGGAACTGGGGGCACTTAGGTAGTGGAGAGCTAAACTTACAATTGCCGGTTAAAAACCTAAACATTTTTAAATGCCACATTCTAATTGTAATTTCTTAGCTGAATAAAAACATATGCAGCCAGTGAAACATAGAACATACCGCAGGGCTTGATTTCCATCACTGGAGCCTATAGGCACACAATCATTAGACCAGTTTCACACCGGTGCAGTGCTTTGTAAGTTAATGTGCTTATATTTTTCCTTCCCTGGTTCCTCTTTATTTATTTTAGACACAGTGATCTCTACAATAGGTTTATGTGCTCCTCTATGCAATCCAGGCAGATTATGACTGCTGGTAGGGGCTGGCAGGGTGCTGTACCTAGCTTCCTGAAAACACCACAGCATCCTGTCTCAGTACTCCAATCAAGAGCTCTCAGCAGCCGGTTGGCTCTTGGGAGGAGTTTTGCAAATATCAAAATGTCCTGCTGGGGATGTTAATCAGGAGGAGCAGTCATTCCTAGGCAGACGGCCCTAGATAATGCCCACATGTGATGCTGATCCTCCAAGATTAAAAGAGATGAAATCCAACGAATGAAAGGGGTGGGCCAGGGACAGTCAGACTACGGAAGAAAGATTTAGATGTTGCTGGACATCCTCCTGCCAGGAAATAAGGTGGGCTCGATCTGGCTTAGCTAGAGAAGTGCAGCTTCATATGCACATCATGAGAAGGTCACAGTGTGCAGTGAAATTAATAATTTCAGTACAGGAGAGGAGGCGGTACAAATGCTCAAGACTGAAGGTAAGGCTGGAGTTTAGCTTCAAATCAAACAATTAAGTCATAAAAACAGCAGATTAGGAAATCTCACCGTGGTGGTGCAGTAGTAGCAGACAAGGTGGTAAATGTAGACATCGTGGAAGTTACATTTAGTGGAATGCATTCATCTGTCCTTAGTATTAGTGGCAGGGTCTTGGAAGCTGGAGCTGGATATATAAATGCTCCAATGGCAACCCAAAATGACATAACGAATCCAGTTAGGACACCTCCCAGAGCCCCCTAAAAATTGTACATAAATTACAGATTAGTCATGCATACCTTACTTTCATTATTCTATTTTTTAGTGGTAATTCTTCAGGATTTTTTTAGTCTTGATCATTGCTGTCATTGATAATAACCTGTACATGACAAATGTTGCAAGATTCTAATTGTCTCCTGTAATGACTGTGTAATGAACAAATTAAAGGGTCTATCCACCCACAGGTCATATTTTTTAGGAAGCCTTCATAATGGCCACAGCAGGTGTGCAGGCATGGGAAAACAAGTACACATATCTTACCACTAGAGTCGAATGGCCTGACTCACAAACATTTACCAACCTGGAAAATTAGTTTTAGGTGGACTGACCCTTTAAAGAAAAGGCAACATAATTCAGTACCATGATCATGGTGAGAAATTTGTGCTGTGGTATGTGCACAGAACTGCACTTGGCTGAACAATTGTTTAAGATTTTATACTAAGTAGAATTTATACAGTCACTATAAATGACTTGGATGTACCCAGTAATTATAAAATGTTATTAGTATCAGTGGGTAAAACATTGAATGTGCTTGGGTGGGCTCAGAAACCTCTGTATTTGCAAAAGACCCTTCTAGGATGGAACCAAAGTATATCCTTAAGAGCACTAATGGCCATCAGCTGGTGATTACTTGCTTTTTGGTGGGAAAAAATAAGGCTGTAGTAAGATAATATAGTGGCAGTCTTCCTTTCACCGCTAAGCACATATGTTTAATAGAGAATAATAAGGAGAGCAATATCTAACTTACCTTCCAGTTGGTCCATGGAAACAAAATCCCCAAAGAGAATAATCCTAACATGGGGCCACCGCACATCCCGTGGATACTAAGAGCAGCCTAGGAAAACAAACATCTCAGTAAGAGAAAAGACAGTTGTTGCTTTCAGGTGAGCTAGCTTTCAGTTGAATTATTGTTCTTTATGGCCCATATTTGGTTCTCTCCTACATGAAATGGCCAAAAGTTTGTGGACATCTCATCATCTCTCTCAACTATATGAACTTGTTAGACTTCCTTTTCCAAATGCATG